ACTGACATACCAGTATAGATTAGACAACATTATAAACTGACCTAGATCAACACTGCTTTCCTCTTTAGGAGACCGCATTGGGGAAACGTTAGACAACAAAACTTTTGTTTGCTCTATAAGGACTTGCATTCCTGAGCATGCAAGGATTCCTAGACATTACATTCACAAGCAAATCAGTTCCAGCAATTGGATTCCTATCCTCAACAATTTAGGTCGTGTTTGAAAATTCCTGGAAATGCCGACTATGGCTGGTATGTGCTCATCAGATGTGCGCACAGCCTGATGTCATAGTTACAGGCTGTGCCAAGCAAACTTACAGTAAGAATTGAATCCTTGATGCTTCAATGAATGGAGCTGCATGACAACTAGGGCAGTGGTTTCTGGAAACTGCTTCTTAGGGCTGAAGTCGAATGTTGTTGTGCCCCTGAGTCTATTCCGACTCATAGTGACACTGTATAGGGTTTCTGAGGAGCGGCTGGTGGGTTTGACCTGTTGGTCTTGAGGTTAGCAGTCTAGGGCCATGCCAGTCAAATCCTAGTGTCACACCAGTCAAATGTAAAATAGATATCTTTGTTACACCAGCTAGAAATCCAGAGAGAGCGAAATCTGTGCCAATTTGTGAGAAATATTGGTGTAGTCTCATCAAAGTTGAGGGATAACTAAGGTTGAGTGAATGGTTTAGTGAGAGTGAATGTTTTAGGCAGTTTCAGCTTAAGTCTTTAGACAACCCTGTGTGCTCAAACTTGAGCTGGAGGAGCAAATGGAGGCAGATCGATTTACTGAATTTTCATGGGTGGAGACATGTAGATTCTGTTTTTTTTTTTTTTTTTTTTTTTAGAGACATAGAGTCCTGGTGTGGTGCTGTCAGATGAAACGCTGGATCACAAGGTCAGTTTGAACCACAAGTTGGCAGTTCAAACTCACCAGTTGTTCCTTGGAAACTCTATACAGGGTTGCTATGATTTGGAAGTGACTCGATGGCATTTAACAACAATGGGTTAATAGCTCTTGAAATTGGACTTACTTTAGGACATATTTGGAAGCTTTCAGCAGGATTAAAGCAGATAATTTCTCTTTGACACCAGAATAGGTAGCCACAGGAGGGTAGTTTGAATAGTGAGAATTTTGTGGAGATGCAAATAGTTACCAAGTCAAACTATTAATTGGAAAAACAGGAGACAGCTCTCAGAAACCCTCCTAGAATAACAAGGTGCTGGTAGCGTAGTGATTATGAATCGGGCTGCTAACCTCAGGGTCAGCAGTTCGAAACTACCAGCTGCTCCTGTAAAGATTTACAGCCTTGTAAACCCTGTACAGGGTCACCATGAGTTGGAACCGATTTCACGGCACATAACAACAAGAGGGTTAATGTGCCAGACTGCAAAGCCCTTTGAATTGCAAGGTTGGTTGTTCAAGCTCACCAGCTGCTCCTCGGAAGCCCTATACAGGGTCACTATGGGTCAGAATCGGCAGTTAACAACAACAACAACAATTATTTATTCATGAGACCCTGGTGGCACAGGGAATTATTTGGTTGCTAATTAAAAGGTCAGCAGTTTAAACCCACCAGCTGCTCTGGAGGGGAAAGATGAGGCAGTTTGTTCTAGTGAAGTTTTATAGCCTCAGAAGCCCTATTTGACTCTGTCTTATAGTCAGAATTGACTCAATAGCAGTGAGAATTAACAGAAAATTTATTTATTCACATTTAGCTTATTTGAGCAGACAATGTACTAAGGAAGAAATAAATGACCAACAAGCACATGAAAAGATGCTGTGTTTATGGGTTAGTTTCATTTCCCAGTGACTTCTCTGGACTGCTGTACAATTTTTAATCTCAGCTCTAGAAGTATTGTTTTGGGCTACCACTGGTTTGGTTCCTGACAGACCATTAAGCATCCCGTCGCTTTTTTGCTGTACTGTTTTATGCTTCTTAGAAGAGGACCAAAGCCTTTTGCCCTGTCCTGGGTTCTGAGCAGGCTTTCAGGGAAGGGGATGGGGACTGGGCCTTGCACCAAGTCAACAATGAGTCTACAGTGCTTCTCCGGAAGTTGAAATGAAGTGAATGAGAATGGAGGTACAAATGGGAAGCGGAACGGGATTGGGATGGGGGCAGCCATGTGACAGCACACTCCTCCTCCCACTATAGACAAAGGCATTGTTGTAGAAGAGTACAGGCATGCTATTTTTGACTCTTAATATTTGTCTAAGTATCTTTTATATGAATATTTATCATTTTCCCTTTGGCATATTATATTTTCCTTCTGGGACATTTTCTCCCTCAAGTACTGGATCCTCCTACATCCTAGTCTTTCACACATTTTTCATTTATTTTGCATCTGGCTGTCACTTGTTGTTTAGCTCTATCTTCCAGTTTACCAATTTGGCTGTGTCTAATCTGTTTAGGCTATTCATAGTTTTTGCTTTTTACTTTTATTTGCATTTTAAGATTTACTCCTAAGCTATGGTTTTGTTTCTTCAGTTTCTTCTGTGCACCCTCCTGTTCTGGTTTAGGCATAATTTGTCCCTTTTCAGTTAAGAACCATCTCAATGTAGCAGGGGGTGCTCAAGTACAAGGGGGTTTAAAAATTCCATGATCTTTGTAATTCCATTTTCCATGAATTTATTTGAAAGCCCCCTAACATGGCTTGGAGTCCTGGTGTGGCACTGTGGGTTAATGCACCAGACTGTGAAGCCGTTTGAACTGCAAGGTCAGCAGTTCAAGCTCACTAGCTTCTGCTCGGAAACCCTATACAGGGTTGCTATGGGTCGGAACCGACTCGATGGCACTTAACAGCAACATGGCTTAGGAGTCCTGGTGTGGTGCTGTGGGTTAATGCACCAGACTGCAAAGCTATTTCAACTATAAGGTCGGTGGTTCAAGCTCACCAGTAACTCTTTGGAAACCCTATACAGGGTCGCTATGGGTCCGAACCGACTCGGCACTTAACATGGCTTAACTCGACCATGAGCTCTGAGAGGCTGTGTATCTTGGAATTTTTTTCACTTAGATAAGCTCAATGACCAAAGAATCTACATCTAAACCCCTAAGTTCAGCAACACTCTGCATTTTTAAGCAAGTGTAACAAAAACTCAGCATCCTTTCTTGGCCAGCGATCGGTTTGGTCTGGGTACAATAACATCTCCACCGCTGTAATGTCACAATGGCATACATTGCCTCTCTGAGACGGACTAGTTTTCCAGATTGCATAACCTGGATGGCCTGCAGTCTCACAGGTATTTTTAAAATGGACCCAAGGTTTTGAACCTCTTGATTTGCATGGTTTTGTGGGATTTTCTGGGTGGAGTAGAGTAGTAGTAAACAATTTCTGTGAGATTATGGGAAGTGGGAAGAGTCGTCAGATAGTATTGATTTCAACTTTTTAAAAAAAATTTGGATACTAAGAAACAAGTCATTTTGGTAACTTATTTCTATGGTTCCATCTTTAATTATCTTCACTGTATTCTTTTTGAGGATTATAAAATCTTGAAATCTCTGGATCTAGATCTTTTGTCTTTCGAGTCATTCAAGATGTCTTGTTTTGTTGGTGTGTTTGCCGATATATACATTATTGCTGTGAAGTGCAGTCAAATTCGTTCTCATAGCAAGCAGCTGTAAATCTTTGCAGTAGAGTTTCATCCTTCTCTTGCAGAGCAGCTGGTGGACCCGAAGTGCTGACCTTGTAGTTCACAGTCCAGTGCTTGTTGTACAGAGCCACTGTGTTCCCTTATATATCCCCCAAAGGATAAATACAACCGACTAGAATCAGTTGTAAAACACAGGGTATACGACGAGTTCAAGAATATTTCCTGTTCAAATATTCTGAGGCCTAAAGGAGAAGGTGTGGAGTGAAACCTTACAGGATATGATTTCCACTAAACATGACAATCACTGAAGATGAGATGGTGTGAAGGGTAGAAACATTTCATGTGGGAAACGGCAAAAGCAAAGGTATTGACGTAGGGAGTGTATACGCATGTCCATGGAATGGCATCTCAACCCAGCTAACTGGCATGCCTCTGTGAGTTAACAAAGCAGGACACACCACTGGGTTTCATGCTACTATGATTTTCAAACTGTATTCAGCTTTAGGCCTAACACTATCTGTACTACTATTTAATGGGCACTGTATCTCTACACCTAGTGACCTGCTTTCGTAAAGACTTTAGCCTAACACACTGTGTGGGACAGTTCTCTATCCTATAGGATACGCATCTAAACTGATTTGTCCCTGAACAACAGAGAGATTTTAAATTTTAGCCCCAAATCCTAGTTCTGCTTCTCTAAACGAGAGGCAACCAGCTCCATTCTACCACTCAAGCTCTTTAAGAAATGACCACTGACCAAGCCTTCAATTCAGATTACGCATCTAATTCTGTATTTTCTCTCTGCGGAGTTCCATTATCATTCCCAGTGGAAGCCATGTATCTGTTATGAAATGCTTAACAGTACTGCCAGTGGGCAACTATCCAGACTGAAGACCAAAATAAACTGCTGTCAAGGCACAGTTCATTCCCACTGTTTCACAGCACTCTGTCTCCACACCCTTTCTCTCCCCTCCTGTTCCACTCTCTAGGTACTTTGTAAGGCAACAACTGTCATCCATTAAGACGCTAGGGAGAAGTGACACAAATATATATTTTTGATGATAGAGAGAGAATGCCACTGTAAAACTAACGGGCTGAAAATAAGAAGGCTATCAGGTCTGGGTCAGATGAGCTACGGTGGGCTAGGCTGTGGGTGTTCCTCTTGATGTGCGACACATGGCTAGCTCTTCCCCAGAGTACACACCATCTGGTTTCTGCCTGAGCTTTACAACAGTTCTCTTCCTTCCATTCACCAATAAACTCACATAAACCAGAGTTGGTTTACAAAAGATTGTTGTCAATGTTTATTTAGAGCCCAGTTAAGAGAGACTTGAGAACACAAGGAAACCATATCTCTTTCATTCCGAATCCCAAGGTTGGGGCCCAGATTGGCAGGAGTGCTTCTTGGGACCCATTCACAGGTTTACAAGTTTCTCATTGAGGGCAATCTGTGACTGTGTAAGATTGGCAAGGTAGGTCACCATCAGCAGGTCCTGGAAGAGAAAGAATCCGTCAGTGAGTGGCTGGGTGGGAAGGGACCAGAAAACTCGGTCCTGGCCAGCTGGGTACATGACAGCCTGGAGAGACTGATGGAAGATGGGAAGACAATGGTTGCGCGAACATAATCTCATCAGTAGTTTCCCTTACAGACAACAGACTAGGGTTCCTAAGCTGAGATCCAGAGATAGAATATGAGGGGGCGTCAAAAAGTTGATGGAGCGAAGCCCTCTGGCATAAAGGGTCTGTGAATTCAGATGGGAAAAACAAGTCTCATATTTTCATTCACCCCTAACTGCATTTCAGCATTTTTTTCAGTCATGAATCTGATAACAAGCCATAGCAGTGCTAACAGTACCCAAAGCAGTGAAATCAAGGAAGCAAGGGAATCTCCTGAACACACGCACTACCTACTTTTCAACCAGGACTGCAAGCATGCATACCATCCCACCCGATTCCCTAGCCTGAGGTGGGGGAAGGGCCAGAAGAACACTCACATTGATATTGCTGTTGAGCATGGTCTCGAAGTCATCAGGAACGATTTTGGGTACTTGGTTAACCAGACTCATCAAGAAGCGGCCCACAGTATTGTCAGCTGACACCTTTCCAGACTGAGCACCAAAACAAAGATGCGATGAGGCAGTTACTTTTCGCCCTTGCGACGGCAGTCGTTTCACCGGCACGCCCTCCAGTGACCCAAGTGCCCTCCTTACCAAGACATCCTCTGCGTACTGCAATACTGTGCTGAGGGCATCCTGGATGCGGGCTGACGCCCCTCCAACTTGCTGCAAGTCACTTGAGAGCCCGATCACCCGGTTGGGACTAAAACAGGTCTTCATGATCAGGTCAACTATGGAGCAGTGAAGACACACAGCAACCCAGTCACCCCATTATGAAGGAGATGGTTTCTGCCCAGTCCTCTGGCTCTTGCCTGTATTCGTTTTCCTTCCTCCTGGTAGAACCAACTGGCTCTTTTACCCCTTGTTGTGTTATTGCCAAGTGTCCCGAATCGGTTCTGACTCACAGTGACCCTGTATAGGGTTTCCAGGGGCTGCTGGGTGGTTTGAAGCACTGACTTTATGGGAACAGCCCAGTGCCTTTCCCCAGTGGCACAGCAGGACTCCCTCCGAGCGCTGTGTTATCACCGATTGTGGTCTTCTATGAATGGTCACATGGCCTTGGGTGCTGAGAATTTCTTGTATCTAACAACTTCTCAAATTATTCTCTTGAATTCTATTTACACAGGAGAATGACTGACTTCTAATCAATATAATCTGTGCAAAAACGTCTACTCCTGAATTCAGAATCATTCAGTTCCAAAAAGAAATGCAATAAGCTCTTTGGGGTCCCACTGAAGTCTACAAAATCAGAATTCTGGCAGGTGGACTCTGATACCTATATTAAGTCAAAGTTCCAAATGTACACCTACAGCTGAACACATTCTGCTGAAACACAGAGGAAGTTTGCCCTCCTTCCTTCCTGCCCCAGGAGCTCGGCTCCCACATTCAAATCAGATGCATGCATGAGAAACTTGGTTTGTCTCGAAAGCTCCTGTTTCCCAGTGGAGTCCTTGTCACGTAATCCCTGATCACACCTGGTGTAAGACGTTGAGGGTCTGTCTCACAAGGCCTGAGAAGAGGACAACTACTGGGAGACATGCTCATCTGAATAAAAGGGATTTAAAAAGGCTGTCTCCCTTCTACATAAGAAGCAAACCCAAGTGTAACTGTGACATGACCGTGGTGGAGTTTGTAAAAATTGTAACATCAAGTTCTCTGCTCCCCTCCCTCCTCATCACAGACAGACGAGACTGAGAAAGACGGCACCCACAGACTGTATGGGAAGTAGACCTGAAGTAGACACTGGCGAACATATTTTCCGAGCACACTGTGTGCTGTGCTCTTCAGAACTCATCTTAGAGTAATCTTCACATTAAAGAGCCTGCACGGTACAGGGTACAATCCATTCTTTCCTACTAGTGGCCACGTCACTGGCAGGAAAAAGATGCTGCCAGGTTAGGGACATCAAGTCCTATGTGTCTATTAGAAAATGGCAGTCAGCTAAAGATCTGAAAAATGAGTTTGTCTTTATGACAATGCCATCCCTGAGAGGGAGTGAGAAAAAACAGACAATAATTACTGAAACAACTCCTGAGGAGGAAGATGTGAAAGCAATAGGAACATTACCAATGTGAAAAACCTGAGTAATAGGACTGCAAACCAGGCTGCTGCTGATCAACACGACACTGTTGGCTGATTAGTTTGTGGAGAGCCCACCTTGTCTCTCACCAGTGAGGCAAAGTGGGACTACCAGCAGATGAGGGCAGGAGGGGGTAGCTGAGTAAGTGTTAAGGTCTGGGGGTAAGAGCGGAGTTGAGGACTGAGAAGGACTGGAGGGCAGGGCCAGGGTAGTTTCTGTGAGTGCCCTATACTCACTGCCCCTGACCCACAGCAGAAACCAGTCAGAAACCTACAAGTGAGAAGAGATGCTTCTAGCAAGAGGGCTGGAGACACTAGCAGGCCTTTCTACTTTCATGACCTCCTAAGATCAGTAAGTACTACGCTCTGTGTCTTCTTTCAATTACCCAGCACCCTCCATCCTTTCACGGAGCATCCCCTTCCCAGCCCTCAAAGTGCCAAATACCCCCGAGAAAGGTCGGAAAGCTACTCACCTCCAATGCGTTCAGTGTCATAATATGCATATCTCACAGTCAGAGGTGTGAACATCACCCCCATGGTCCTCCCAGGGACACCCATTAAAGTGCTGGGGAGAGAGAAGATGAAGATAAGCAGTTGGCCTTGGGCAATGGCGTCCATGCAGCCACAGCAAGAAGGACCACTACGGAAGCAGGAGTGTGGCTTCCAAGCTAAGAAGGTGGAGAACACTGGAAGCCTAGAGTTCTCAGAGGAGCAGGTCACTTTCTCCCCTGGCCTCATTCCACACACCAAAACCTTAGCCTGTAAGAAGGGACTCAGTGTTTGACCCAGCCTGGTCCTCTTAGAGGACTGATTCATACACTGCCCCCGGATGGAACACTGGGTTGCCTGTACACCAGCAACCCTTGCCCAGCAACAGTGGATTAAGGGCTATAAACAAAATCCCACCAAAGAAGATAATCTTTATTCAGTCAACCACACACTTTCAAGTGAATCTTGACATCTGATATATCTATCTGGTCAGAATAAGAAACCAAAAGGACTTGTGGCATTTACCATCTTTGTCTTGTGCACAGTAATTAATGAACCACAATCAACAGCAGACACAGAAACAATACAAAACTACACAGGGTAAGAGACGCTTAACAAAGACCTCCATGCTAATGGGAAGACATTCCTTCCAACTCCCATAGCAGTACCTTCCTCACAAGTTACCACATTCCCGGGTCAACTGAACTTTTACTACCAGCATGCAGATCTGCCAAATGTTACTGTCACTCAACCCTGGGTTAACGGATGGCCTCGAAACAAGGAGTCTTCATCTGTACTACCCTTAGACTAGGCTCCATCCTAGGAATATGGCAAACTAAGGCGCAGCTCAGGAAAGCAATGAACATGCTGGAGAATCATGAAAAGAATACTAAGTAAGGATCAACTATGAACATCCAGTTCGAGAACACATGATATTAAAGGAACACAGTAGCTTCCTCGAATGACAAAGGGCTGTCTTGACTGGTCAGTGTAAGAAGTAGAAACAGGTGAGGTAGAACTATGGATGATCAATGAGTGACAATTATAAAGCTTCCCCTTCAGCAGCAGGGACTTATATACTGAAGGCATTCAGTGTGCTTGCATGGGGGACCAGGGGTTAGCCACGCTGACCTCGACAGCCCTTTATCCCCATGTGGGGTAAGGCTGTGCTTACCTGACATAGGCCTTGATGCTCATGCGACCGTTCTGGAGGCTTGTGTCCACAGTGAGGTGAATGGGGTTGGGGGCCTCTCTGCTGTAGTACTCATGGATCAGCACCGAGTGCTCGGTGATGTCATGGCCTGTAGCATACCTGGACAATAGAGTGTAGTTGTGGAGGTCAACAAGTGCACTCCTGTTTAACAACATGAATACAAACTGGGGGCGGTGGCAGGGGTGGGTCCAGACACCTGACAGCTCTACAGAGCAATACACACTGAAACCGAACATGCCAACAATGCGAGTTTATAAATATTAGTATTCTCTCCTCACACTGAAAACTGCATCAAATCAAGTCAAAGCGTAACTTAGAGCTCTTGAAAAATTCCAAGTTATCAGTCCTTTAGGAAGACTTTGTCAGAACTACAAATCAAAATAAATTGCCAAACTCCAGAGTTTCTTGAGGTACTATGGAATCCTTGGGTGGTGCAAATGGCTGCTCACTGGAAGGAAGGAGGCTTGAATCCACCCAGAGGTGCACTGGAAGAAAGAGGTGCCGGGAGATCTGCTTCTGAAAAATCAGAGCCATTGAAAGCCCTATGAACTACTCTATCAGCGTTCTACTCTGACACACACAGGGTCACCATGAGTCGGAATCAACCTGACAGCAACTAGTCGGTACTGGGATGAGGTTAATACACTTCCAGTACTCTGTGGCTCCAAAAGGAGTACAAGTCTAGTGGCAGGAGACATTGACAATCAGCAGGGGACTTTTCATTTCCCCTCTCGACTTACCAGCCCAAGATGAGCTCGTTAGGAGACACTTTCTTGTGCAATTCATACATGTTCTTAGCAAATTCCATGTCAACGGCCACCTAACAAGGAAAGCAGGAATGGAAGCTAAGAATCCAGTAGCCTTTAGAGAAAACAGAGGCCACCCCTAACAGATGGACCAGGTCCTTGGGCTATAGGAGCTCTAGTTATGAGCACAACATACTGCATGGTAAGAGGAGGACAGCAAATAAGCAGCTAGACTACAGAAGGGCAGTCCAGACTGCCACTCACCTCATCCTCAGACTCATTGTGAGGCACTGAAAAGCAATTGGTAACTTCTACCGAGTGCTTGTCGACAGTTCCTGTGAAAGAGAAAATCGCTTCAGTACAATCTTAGGGCTCCAAACCCCCTCTGACCACTTTCAAAATACCTTAGGAGGCTCTTCAGTCAGGGAATACCATACTGAACTCACTGGTTCCTAGTTCAGCCATGGGCATCAGTGGGACCAGGGTCTCCAGAGATCTGCAACCTGGAGAAACTGCAAACACTTTCCTCTAATCATTACCAAATAGGGTGGTCTGTTCTTCTTTAACAGGGTCTCCTTTTTGTCTGTTACTTTCTGCTACTAGCCCAACTCCAGACCTTCATTCTATGACCTTGATATATATGGTACATATTTCCCTAAGTTTTATCTATCTTGTTGCTATTGAGAACACAGACAGCAAAACACATACCAATCCAAATTTCCACACATACATTTTAGTCACTCAAAAAAAATACAATTGTATTTGAGATGTGCAACTACTCTTAGGCTCTGAGTTGTTCCTCCCCGGTTAGCATAAACTCATGTACCCTCCTAAGATTCTTATCTCATCTTTCCACTTGCTGTTTAAGGCAGACATTTTTCACCAGTTAAGCTAAACTATGGTTCAGTTTTAAGCATTTTAAATATTCAGGGGATATTTTTGGTTAAGGATTAAAAACGATCTCAGAGCCAACGAGTTTCAGGGGTTCATCCATCCCCTACTCATGGCACCAAGAAGTCTAGAGTTGATGAAAAATTTTAAGTCTGTTCTGTCTTTTCCCCCTTTTCGTAAGAATTCTTCTATGGAATTTTTAATCAAAATATTCAGTATTGGTAGCCAAGCACCCTGCAGTTCTTTTCATTTCTGGCAGACAGTTGTTGAAGGAGGTAGTTGTTCATGGAAGCAATTAAGCACACATTCTCTACTTTCCTCCTGTTCTTGCCTCTCCTCCCTCTTGTTCAGGTGACCAGGGGACCAAATGTTGTTCTTTGGATGGCCACCTGTAAGCTTTTAAGACACCAGGCATGATGCAATGAACTAAGTGGTAGGACAGAAGCAATAAACACATTATTAGTGCTTAACTGTTTGTATTAACCCAGGGACTCATTGTCTCCCACAATTCCCTAGAATTCTCCTTCACAGCACTTTGCATATTTGCAACTATGCTAATATCTCTTATAGCTCCTCACTATGCTCGCTTCATTTCCTGCCACATCCCCTTTCCTCAGTACAGTAGCACCAATTATTCAGAGTCTAGGCCTGCTAGGTCCTTCCACACTTGCCTTCCCCAACCTTCCAAAATTGTCATCTGTACTTCTGGTGTGGCAATGTAGGCTAAGCAATGCACCACAAGGTAGGTTTGAACTGGAAGATCAGCAGTGCAAACCCACCAGTTGCCCCTTGGAAACCCTATCCAAGGTTGCTATGATTCAGAATCAACAATAACAACAGCAGTTTCTGGAACATGAAAGTCATTAGTGACTTTATTTAACCAAATAAAATGCTTCTTGCATTAATGTATACCTGAGAAAATGGTTAAGTTCCTTAGTTGGCAGTATCTACACTTTCTTGGCTAAGCACTGATCATATAACACGGAACATTGTACCACAATCTCCATCTGAAGAGGACCTTCCACAGAACTGCTGTAAGACTTGGGGTACTAGCAGAAACTGTGGGTGAATAATTGTTCCTTTAGTTAGGTTGAGTTCAGAAACACAGGCATTGAAGCCAGGTCAATGATGCAAAAATCATTTGTTATAGGAGCTCAAAGGAGGGTACCCGTATAGAATGTGTTCTTGCTTAGTGTTTAAGACTGGGGTGAGGGATGGTGGACTGGTTCTGAACATCTGTCCAGGGAACATGAAAGAAGGGTGGCACTTACAAAGCACATGGCACACAACATGATGGCACACCTGACAAGGAGAATTATAAAAGCTTGGCTTCAGAAAAGCCATGGCTAAATTTGGTAGACAATGGATCAACTGAGCATCTGCAAATACCAAGTACTACACTGGTGTGGTGCTTTCGGATGAGCACTGGACTGGGAACCACAAGGTTGGCAGTTCAAACCCACCAGCTGCTCCTTGGAAATCCTTTACAGGGTTGCTATGAGTCGGAAGCGACTTGACAACACTTAACAACAATCACCATCTAGGGTAGTATTAAGGAGACAAAGAAAGGCTCAAAGGTTTGTTGTTGTTATTAAGTGCTATTGAATCTGTTCCGACCCACAGTGACCCTGTATAGGGTTTCCAAGGAGCAGCTGGTGAGCTTGAACTGCAGACCTTGCAATTCAAAGGGTTTTGCAGTCTGGCTCATTAAACCACAGTACCACACCAGGACTCCTTCAGAGGTTTGTTAAGCACTGTCGAGGCACTGCCGACCCCATGGCGACCCTGTATCGGATTTCCAAGGAGATAGTGAGCTTGAACCACAAAACTTGTAGCTCAAACGACTTTGCAGTCCAGCGCATTAGCCCACAGCACTACACCAGGAGGCAGAACTATCATAAAAGTGTAAATGGGCTCCAGTCAAACTGGTTTATTTGTTGAGGAGTTATTTTTACAGATGCCTTCATTCCTTTACCAGCTGGTTATAAATTTGTCTTTGTAAGCATCTGGCAAATGGAGCCACTTAGTCAGTGGATAGGCGCAGGGAGTCAAGCGTTAATTTAGTCACTTGCTAGTCGATAGCTGAGCTCAGTTTCGGTAGATTGAAGCTAATCATACTCGCCATGAAGTACTGTTGGGAAGAAAACGTGAACCACTTAGCACACGATATTTACTCAAGTAATAACAACTCATATGTTTTATGCTGCCAGACATGACAGCAAGCCTATACAAAGGAGAGGAACGGATCAAGTTTCTGAGGACGGTAAGTCACAGCAGGAAGAAAGGATGAAGTGACAAGCAAGAAGTCAATGGGCTTGGAGGAGGCAGGAAACCAGAGACGAAAAGGTTAACGAGAAGGGGCGCGATCAATGGGAGAAACGAGCGAGAGAGAACGCCAATTTTGTACCACCACTCACCCAGCAGGGTCCCGATAACGCGAGCAGCGCCCTCGTTGCGTCGCTCATAGCTGTCCACGATGGAGGCTAAAATGACCGGGTGCAGCCGGACCACGCGACCGCCAGGGAAGGGCCCTGGGAGAGCCGGGCCAGGCGGCGGCGGCGCAGGGGTCTGCGCTGGGGCTTGCGCTGCGGCCGGGCTCTGCCCCGGGGCCGCGGTTGTACCCGCTGCTGCTGTAGGGTCTGAGGATGCGACAGGAGCTGGAGCTGGGGCCGAAGTCTGAGCCGGAGCCGGGGCTGGGGCCGGAGTTGGGGCTGAGGCTTGGGCTGGAGCCGGACCTGAAGCCGGAGCTGCAGCCGGAGCCGGGGCTGGGGCTGGAGTGGCAGGAGGAGCACTCTGCGGTGGAGTCGGCGTGGCCATCTTGCCGAAAGGAAAGATCTCACACAGGAAGGGAGTGAGATAATAAACTTTACGACTTCGATAGGCTGAATATGCACCACGTGAACCACATCTTTCCGTCTATTGGTTACTGATACTTCTCGGGGCACTAAAATTTCCTGCTCTGTTTGTAAATTCGTCCGGTGTTTGTATAGTTTCTTTCCGTCCGATGCGCAATCGTAAGACTCATGTCAAGTAGTTCCGAGTAAACTTGGGACGGCGCTGGGAGAAGAAAAATGTTCTTAACGTGTTGTAGAGTCGTCCAATTCTTGGCGACTCTGTATAGGGTTTCCGAGGCACTTTCTCACGCGGAGCAGCTGGTAATCAGAGCCGCCAACCTTGTGGTTCGCAGTCCAGTGCTTATCCTGTGGAGTCCCCTCGTTCCGCGGTTAAGTGCCCTGTATAGGGTTTCCGAGGAGCCACTGTGAGCTTGAATTGCCGACTTTGCGGTTCAAACCGACCTTGCAGTCCAGCACATTAACTACAGCGCCATATCAGCACTCCTGTTCGCGGGTGGTGGTTATGTGCTGTCATGTCGGTTCAGACTCGTGGGGACCCTGTACAGAGTTGCCGCGGGTAGAAGACAAATAACTCAACTCAGTGTGCGCACCTGCCGCCAGATGGAGCCAGAGAGCAGCGCAAGAGTGCAGTTCGTTTTTGTTTTCAGATTTAAATAAAGAAATAAATAAGAAATGGGGATCAAAATTACATGTATAGGGCTATGTTCTTTGCCACATCATTCATTCAACAACCTGCTGTGTGCCAGGTGCTCTTTTAGTCACTGGATATATCGGTGAACAAAAACAAATATCCTTACCCTTGACTAGCTTCCGTTCTATCAGGGAAAGAAAAATAAGTAACTATAAAGGAGCTCTGGTAGCGTAGTGGTTACGAATCGGGCTGCGAACCTTAAGGTCAGCGGTTCGAAACTACCAGCTGCTCCGCGGGAGAAAGATGAGGCTTTCTACTCCCGTAAAGATTTACACCCTCGGAAACCCTGTACAGGGTCGCTATGGGTCGGACCCGACTCGATGGCACTTAACAACAACAACAACATAATACAATTGTTGTTAAGTGTCTTTGGGAGTCCATTTTGACTAATAGTGACCCCTAGTGACATAGTAGATCGGGCTCAAAATGTAATCGGCAAAACGGTAATCAATCACTTGACACTGAAGTAGCCAGTATTCAGATACAGGACTCAGAGCAAAGAGCAAAGCGTTGATTGAGTACCAACACTTAGAAGCACAGGGGAGCAGAAATCTTCCATAGCACTCTCCCCGAGGGAAAAGGAGAGGGAGGATTTATAGAGATTTTGCGCATAGGGTTGGAAACTGAGGAATTTCAGAAACTTCTTTGTTAGTTTGTGTATCTCAAGTCATGCTTACCATTCTGGATATGTTGGCTCTAACAGGGGCACTGGAGAATGAGAAATTAATGTAATTTGGCATAGCCAGCAGAAAGGGCCCAAGTTAAGATATTTCTAGTTCCACGTCCTCTTCTGAATTTAGCTTGAGTTCCTGGCACTTCCCTGTCAATGTACTGCTGCAGCCATTTTAAAAAATTATCTTCAGCAAAATGTTACTTACATGCAATATTGATACTGCTCAGTAATTTCTGTTTTCTGTTGGGTCACCTCTTTTTGGAATGGGCACATATATGGATCTCTTCCAATCAGTTGACTAGGTAGTTGTCTTCCAAATTTCTTTGCATTAATGAACAAGCTACTCCTGTTTTCCATCAGTTTGTTGAAATATTTCAATTTGTATTTCATCAATTCCTGGAGCCTTTTTTGCCAGTATTTTCATGCAGCTTCAACTTCTTTCTTCAGTACCAGGTACCATTGGTTCTTGATCTTATGATACCTCTTGAAATGCTTGAACGTCGACCGTTTGTTTTTGGTACAGTGACTCTGTATATTCCTTCCATCTTTTTTTTTTTTTAATTCTTTCTGCATCATTCCATATTCCATGGAATCCTTCAATATTAAAAGTTGAGATTTGAATTTTTACTTCAGTTATTTCAGCTTGAGAAATTCTGAATGTGTTCTTCCCTTTTGGTTTTCTAACTTCAGGTCTTTGCACATTTCATTATAATACTTGACTTTGTCTTCTCAATTTGCCTTTAAAATGTCCGGTTCAGGTCTTTTACTTTCTCATTTCTTCTATTCTATGCTGGAGAGCAAGTTTCAGAGTCTCTTCTGACATCCATTTTGGTATTTTCTTTATTTCCTGTCTTTTCAGTGACCTTTTGCTTTCTTCCTGTATGGTGTTCTTGATGTCATCCCACAGCTTTTCTTGTCTTTGTTCATTACTATTGTTGTTGTTGTTGTTAAGTGCCATCGAGTCAGTTCCGACCCATAGCGACCCTGTACAGGGTTTCCGAGGGTGTAAATCTTTACGGGAGTA